TTCATAAAGCTTGCCACAGCGCACCGGCAGAAGTAATGATTATGAATGTGTCAGTGAAAAACAGTAAGGAGGCTGCATTAACATTTTAATGATTCACTGATAAACTAGTGCTTTCTTTGTTTCTGGTTTAAGAGATGAAGTCGGCGACACTGACTCGTCATCTCCGTAGTAGTGAACGCGCCTGTATGCATGTTTCATACGGATGACATAATCTGAGAATATTTGTTTTCCATTTGAGTTTGTTAATTTGAAAGTAGACATTTCACTCTCTATAGATCTATTTTTAATGTCTGTAAGGCAAAGATATACACGGAGTTTCGCGCTCAAGTTCACAGAAACCGAGATGGCAGAAAGCGCATCCGGTTTGCTTTCATTGTTTTACAGAGTCTTTACAGATTCAAAAGATGTATTACTCTTATCTGTATGAGCAAAAATGATGGAGTATTTTAAGAGCAAGTGAGTGCACTCCATCTGTCCTGCAGTGAGCGCGCTTCCACACTCCGCACAGACACTGAATAGTGCACATATTTCTAGATTAACATCAGATTAAGTGGCCATGTAAAGTTTCTAATACTTACATATTTCAGATGATAAGCCATATTTGTGGTGGATGAATTATATGCGAGCGTTTGGATGTCCTGCCCGATGTACTGTATTACCACATAGACCAGCTGTTAACGAACTACGTGACTTCGCCTGTGGATTTTCTTTTTTCTGCGACTAAGCGGCTAATAAAATTTTGGTCGACCAATCCTCTTCTGGTCGACTAACGATTAGTCTACTATTAGGGGTCAGCCTTAAATAACATACTGTTTTTTTTTTAATAGCGAATATGATTTTTTCTTGAGGTTATAATGTTGAAAAAACTAACTAAACTAAACTAATGAGTGTGACATGAGTATCCTCTCTGTCATATAATTACCTGTTTTATGCTTTTCTTGTTTCATAATGACAATAATGGAGTATTGAACTGAGTTTTTTTTTTCCATTTTACAGGCCTTGAACTGTTAAATACACACACTTGTATGTGTCAAAATGCTGGTATTTGCAAGTATCCTCGTAAACACAGTTATTTAGGTCTTAAGTGAAAGCAAACAAATGAGAAAGAAAACACGTGTAATTGTATATTGGATCTGGGCAGCTCTTAAAGTGACAGCAGTCTAATAGTTCTGCTGTCCGTCATTCAGGTTATTCAAACAACAAAAGAGAGAAAATCTCTCACTTCTCTTGACTAAATCACTTTTGTAACTTTAAGAATAAATATACATTTTAAATTTATTATTTTTTATAAATTTATATTTTTATACATTTGGTTACTTTTATACAATGTATGTAGCATTTCTTATTAATTTGTTCTACTGTTGTTTTTTGTCCTATTGCTTGTAATTAGTTTCTTATTCTTATTTAATCACTGACTGTTTAATTGTCTTTAGAGAGCTTTTTTTTTAAATCCAGTATTAGTTTTTTGAGATTTTGACACTGGTCACAAGAATTGTGAAATTTCTATGGTATCAATAATTTTGATATCATAAAGACTTTATTTAAAGCAAAAACAACTCTATCGTGATATATATTGTTACCGTGACATAAAATTACTCATATCTTGAAATAAGACTTTGGTCATATCGCCCACCCCAACATACTGACTTTGATTTAATTTATTTAGTAGTATTTTAAAACTAAACTGCTTTCACTGTGCTTACATGTGCATTCTTACATTTATTTATATTTTAAGAAATAATCATTAAATCATTACAAAAATTATTCAGAACACGATGCAAACATTTTGTGCTTCCTGTTCAATTTACAGCAATATGAGAAGATTCCATTCCAGGACCCCTTGAAAAAGATGACGGCCAAAGCGCTCATGTCTCTGTTAGCCTGTAGCTCCAGCGCTCAGAGTTATGCATGTAAAGGTAAAAATTACGTCAATGATCTTTAACACAAACACACAATGAGGAGCTAACTTATGACATACAATGTAGACATTTGCTAGCATTCACAACGCATGGCTCCCTCCCCATTCCACCCAAACCATTTATGGAAATCAAACACTATTGGTTTTGATGTCAACTATGAGCACATTTGCATATGAACGTATTGAATATTCAGCGTCCTATAGGTATAGTAGCATAAACATCCTGTTTTGTTCTGAGAGTGAAACGGGTTGAAGAAACATCTTGTATATACAAATTACTTTTTGGTGCAAATAACTTGACTAACATTTGAGTAAACTTCAAGGAAAATCCTAGAAGTATAGAATATGTCCCTCTTAAAAGGTAGCAGTTAAAAAGCTGCTATTCCCTCAACTAGGAGGAAATCTCACATACAGATTAATTTCAGTCCCAGGTGATGCTATATTTGTGTCTAATGCCTGATGTCACTGTCTGATGGATGAGTACAGACAGATACATGTCTCTTCTCCCTCTTCAGCTGGTGAGATTGACAGCTGTGTGGAACGCATGAAGCACATTTACGCAGAGCTTCACCTGGAGTCTGTGAAAACGGGCAAGAGTGCTCACAGGAGGAAGGTACGAAGGGTTCCAACAACATGACAGACAGCTTCAACATCAGAAACACTGAAAACCTGTTGAGAGGGAGGAGGGAGGTAGAGGCAGGTGAAGGGAGAGAGACAAATGTGACCAAAAAAAAAGACAAAACTGAACGATCCTCCAGTTCAGTTGATTTAACCAGTTCAGTTCCTTATGTTTGTGCTGCTTTATAATAACTTTAATAATACAACAATCATTATTACGTATATAATGCCAGATTATCAGTGAAATTGCTATAAATGTCAAAGATGGTCTTTTTAAAAATCTGAAACTCATGTTTTTTTTTGTTTTTTTTTTGTAGTTACAATCTAATAGTACAGTTTAAAACATTTCTTTGTATCTTTAATGCATGCCAGTGTTTACATCATAATTATTTGCAAACAATTTATTTTATTTTATTTTTTCCATACCAAGGGAAAACCTGAAGTATTTTGAATGCGATTAATCGCATCCAAAATAAAAGTTTTTGTGTACATATGTGTGCGTGTACTGTGTATATTTATTATGTATATATAAATACACACACATGCATGTATATATTTAAGAAAAATATGTTATGTTTATATATTAAATATATAATATAAATTCTATGAATATAAATATATACGTATAAATATTTTCTACATTTATACTGTATGTGTGTATTATACATAATAAATATACACAGTACACACATACAGTGGGGAAAATAATAATTTGATCCCCTGCTGATTTTATAAGTTTGACCACTTACAAAAAAAATAATTTTTTTTTGTGTGTATATATTATGTACACAAAAACTTTTATTTTGGATGTGATTAATTGTGATTAATCGTTGCCCAGCACTATTAAAAACGTAAACATATTTAAAAAATAATTTACTTTATTACAATCAGGATTTTTTTTACATATCGATACAAAAAATACTATTATCTTTTTTTGGAATGACAAGACTGTTAACTAATTATGCAGTCTTAATTTAGGGGTAGGCCTATGATGGTTGAAATTAATGTATTTCTAGGAATGACAAAGGATGTTTATCTAGGAACATGCCCTATGTCAGTAAATCATGTTGCGCTACGTGCATTTGTTACGAAACATGTAATTTTTGTTAAGACCTATTAATAAAACTTAATATGAAGTGTTACAATTATAATTAATACAAACAGACACAAATGTATGCATATATAAAAAAGAAGGTATAAATTACCACTATCAGCATGATATCTTGTTCTAACTGCTCCGTCTTTGTTCAATGTCAGCAGGTGGAGAACAGCACGAGAGAGCTTAAGATGATTCTAGAGATACTGCGAAATTGCCTGTATCAACATAATGAATGCAAAGTACGTAATTTCAAATAATCTTCCCCATGCTGATTATTTGAGTAGTTAAATTCATTGTACAGTATCCGCAGACGCTCTCACAGGGGTCTTGTTGGTGTGAAACACTGCGGGTTTGAAATCTTGCTGGCGTCATGCAGATTTTCTTGTAAGGACTGAGGTGCAGTCTTTACAAGAAAATCTACACAACACCTAGCAAGACTGTGTGCATGTAATCCATCATGTGATCATTTCTGTGAAGTACAAAGGGAGTTAATCAACCTGAGATTGTTGAATGAATATTTCACCAATTAAACATCCCAATTTACAGCCTTTCAGTTAATGTTCAGGTGAAGAAACTGTTCTCTCAAGAATTAACATTTTGTCACCATTTAATTTCCCTTCTTTATAGCCCTATTTAGATTTCATTAGATATGCTAATTATTTTCGTGTTATGGCTGATATTAAAATTCTGTAGTTTTAAATGCTAGAATATATATATATATATTTTTTTTTCACACATTACATTTACATTTAGTCATTTAGCAGATGCTTTTATCCAAAGCGACTTACAAATGAGGATATATATATATATATATATATATATATACACACACACATACTG